TTTTCCTGAAAAAAAATAAAAATGGGTGGGGCCCACAATCCATAAATTCGTCCAAATGCTTGCAGCAGCAATCGATCCCACAACCATTCACTATGAACAATTATAGAGATCACCATTAAGCCACCCATTCACTTGTTCACTCATTGTGAACTATTTTTTTGTTCACCCTTAAGGCTGCCCTTAGATTGGACTTTAACTTGTTTGTGACCAATATAGCAGAACGTGACACGTGTTTCATCCTAATTAGTCTAACTTTTTTACAAAAATTTGATTTTAATTAAAATAACATCCTTTCCAACCCCTCCTATTCCTCCCTTTCCAAACCACCATTTAGCCTTCAACCCTAACCAAAACCAGGCCACCGCCTAGTCATTTCAATCTCACTAAAGCCACCAACTGCCCAAAATTCAAATAAACTTTTTTGTGGGCACTGAGAGGATACAAGGATTTCAAGCACGAGTACAATCATGGTCGTGAAACAATGGAAACAATTTCATTTTTGAGGTAGAAGGTGGAGTGCGGCCATGGTGTCGGGGTTGCGAGGGTGCGTTTTTGGGGTTGCTCAATTTTAAATTTTCACTTAATTTGCACGAAGTTGGTGAGCTCCTTGAGATCAAATGGTCATGATTGATGGGCCATGATGGCTAATGATTAATAATGATGATGGTAATCAATGGCGATGATCGAATTTAAAGAGCAGCCATGAAAATAAGAGGATGATCGATTGACAGTTTTGCTAGGATTTGTTTATTTTAATTTATTTTTTCGATGCTGCTGAGGTTGAGTGGGTTACAGTGGGGTTTTGGGATGTTACTCGTTAGTGGTGGTGAGATGGTGGGCTAGGTTTTATGGGGTTTCGGTCAGTTGGCTATAGGGCGCTAGAAGGGTGGGTGTTGGTGGGAGTGTTGGCAGAAGGTGGTAAAGGGTGGTGGCATGTGTGTTAGAGAGGATGGGTACGTGGTTTGGGGGTCAGGCAGGTGAATAGGAGAGAGAGAAGGGGAGAAGACGACTATATGAATAATAAAATTATTAAATAAAAAATTATCGGTTATTTAAGTTGTAAGTTAATTGGACCATTTTAAGAAGATAGTCATAAAAGGTGGGATTATTTTCAAATTTACGAAAAGTCAAACTATTTTGAGAAGACACACAAAAGGTGGGATTATTCTTTGTAAAAATTTTTCATTGTTTTTACGCAACTTTCCTTTAGTTTTTCTTAGTTTAGCTTTTTAAGTTTTTCCTGCTTTTCATTAGTGAAGTACTACGTGTTAAGTTTTGAAAATCTTTTCGTTTCGTTCCTTTTCTTGATTTTGTAGGTTTGTTATTACTTTAGTTTTGATTTAAATTTAGTATTAGTATTAGTATTAGTATTAATTTTAGTTTTAGATTTTAGTTATCGTTGATTTTGTGTTAATTGTTCTCTTTATGCTTAATTTAATTGTTTTGTTTAGTTTAGTTTTAATTATGTGTGAGTAGTTTAATTTTAAATTCTTGGGGATCCATGATTAATATGAAGGGATAAATTATTATGATTGATTGTTGATGCTGCGTATTGATTTCCTATTGAATTGTTTTAATTCTTTGCAATTAGATTATAAATTGAGCAGATGTAATTTGATTGTAATAATTTAGCAATATTGATTTTATACATCGAGCAGATGTAATTTAATTTCGATGTTAAAAACTATTTTCAATAGGAGTTTTAGATCTAATAAAAAGCGAGAGCCTGTTAATTTGATTATTTGCAATATTGATTATTGATTGTTATGTTTCTATCCCGGAGTATTAGTTCTTTGTGAACCTATGACCCTAGCTAGACTCTTTATTATTGATTATTTTTCTAGTTTAATTCTTACAACCCTACTCGTTTCTTGATAATTTAGATTATAATATTAGTTAGGAATAGAAAAACATTATTTTCCTGTGGATTAGACCCTACTTCCCTATTTATTTTAGTTAGTGGACTTTAGGAATTGTTTTTTTTATTAGGTGATACGACTTTATATAAGTTTTCTATATTGATTTAAGCTTAGGAAAGTCGTGAGTGTGGGAATTACGATAAGGGACTATGTGTTTTGTTGTATAGTACTTTAATTTTATCAAGTACTTATGATGTGGTTATTTATTATCCTTTCTTATACGATGGCACGAGAGCGTAATACTGCAAGAAAGGTGGTTGCTAGGAAGAGTACAAATGTATTACCCGATTCTCCCTATAGGTTTGTATGATGTGTACAACGAAGACATTCAACATTACGTCTATCATCTCAATCTTTGCATTGAACATTTTCATTACAATGTACTTGATGGCGAGTCTGACTACCTTACTTCGGAGAGACGATCTCAAATTCTTTTACTTATGCTACATGTGAGGGTACCCTTTGCTCAACTCAGGAAAAAGTATGCTGATTTATACATTGACGGTGACCAAATGATAAATACTATTATAATGGAAAATGGATCCCTACTTTGGGATACCTTGAGAAGGAGATAGATGATGGAAGCCAAGCGGGACTATGATTATAACTTAAATAATGTCAACAAGGATGAGCCCCAAGAAAATGAAGATCATGAATGTGAGGAGAAAAATGATGGTTGAAATTTTTTTGTGTTGTGTATAGCTTATTTAGTTAAAAGTTTTATATTACTTTTAAAAATAAAAGCCAGTTTTCTATGATTAGAAACTATAGTATAGTTTTGACTTATTTGTAACTAGTAGTTTGTTGAGTTAGCAATAGTTTGTTATTTTATAGATTATTTTCATTCTCTCTTAGTTTTCTAATAAAATAATTTTGGGTAAACATATATACACTTTGCTATTTTATGTTTATTAATTAATGTAAAGAAAGAAGTATCAATTTCAACTCATTCTGTTAATTCTTTCTGTTCCATTGTATTTTATATAAAAACAAAACTCTTATTTCCTTGTGCTTACTTTGGTCAAGTATAGTAATGATTTGGTTGGATTATATTACAAAAGTAACGCGTAAATTTATAACCTAATGCTAAGTTTGATTAGGGTAAAAATATCCTATGCCACGTGGCCCAATCCGAGTGTGACACGTGGCATCTTCAGAGTGGTTCATAAGGACCAATCTCCTTTGTACACGTGGCACATGCTTTCAGATCCTATAAATAGGAAGATGTTTCCCTATTGAAAAACATTCACAATTAATACAAACCAACTGAGCACATTAAGTGCAGATCATTTACTCTCACTCTCGTAATTCGAGAAGAGCATTTACTCCCGCATTTATTACACACTCCATCCCAGTTCTAACTTGATCGTTGGAGGCGGAACTCCCCCATCCGGAGTCTCCGTTGTTTTGCAGGTACAGACGCCCAGATTCTAGTCTTGGTGTTGTAACTCTCCCAAAGGATATAGAAAACCCCGAAACATTTGGCGCCGTCTGTGGGGAGAGTACTACTAAGATGGAATCCAAAGAGTTTGTACCACTTGCCGAAGGCAAGCGACCTACGGTCAAAACCGAGGTCCACACGAACCAAGATAGTGGTGGCGACCTTGAGGTCGACACCTACGTGGCCCCAAACGGGTTATTCAGGACAAGATGCACCCGTTCCAAAGAAACTAGGGAACGGGGCAAAGACAAGGCTGGCCCAAGCAATCCAGCAGGTATACTTGCTGGGCAACCCCACGCGGTGGAGGGTGACACTCCCGTCACCCGAGACGAGCTTATGAAATTCCTGACGAGTTTCAAGGGGGAAATCACGGACCTCTTAAACAAGAGGACTGGTGGCTCAAGCAGGGGTCTGACAGCTAAAAAGCCTTTTCCCATGGGGAAGAAGAAGCCAGTTCAGGACCGTGTCCCTACTCCTCACCCCAAACCAAAGGAGGGGAACCGGCCCTTTGACGACTTAACTAAGATCCGATTCCCTGAATCGGGGAAGAGGAAGGCCATTCGGCATGTTCAGCCGGATGGTTTAAAGAAGACGTTCTCGGATGCCCGGATGTTCATCCAGGAGAAGAGAAGTCAACGATTGTCTGAGTCGACTTCAACGTCGACCTACCTAGACAGTTTTTTGAATACCTCAATGAGGTGTTCAGAAACGAACCGAGTGAGACAGTCGCGTTGCTTGTCCGCATGTATTGGCCCTCAGATTATCCAACCGGCTCCGTATGTGCCGCAACAGCCATACATGCCTTATGGATCGCCTTACATGCAACCGACCTTCTTTGGAAGTCAACTCAGAATGTCCAGCCAATGGACTGGCAGCTTAGGCTGCTAAATCTTAGGGAACAACCTTCTGCGTTCTCCAAGGAGATAACCGAAGCAGCACAACCTGCTAAGGTTAAGAATGTGTTGGTGGGTGCCTATGATGGTACCACCAACCCAGAAGACCACCTGATGGCATACACCAACCTCATGTACTTACAGGGGTTGGATGATGCCACTTGGTGTAGATGCTTTCCGGCTACATTGAAGAGCATCGCCCAACGATGGTTTGGCAACTTGCCAACCGGGTGCATAAATGACTTCAAGACGCTTGCGTACTTGTTTGCCTCAAACTTCTCTATGAATATCCCTGCAAAGAAAACAAGTCTGGACTTGAGTGCCATATAGCAGGGAGATAGAGAAGGGCTTAGGTCTTACGTTAGGCAGTTCAATTTGATGAGAATACAGATTTAGGGACTGTCTGACGAAGTGGCTTACACAAACTTCTTTAAGGGTTTGAAAGACGGGTCAACCTTCGAGTTTGATCTCGTCCGAAAAAGGGTCGCTACCCTACAGGAGGTTTTCATGGAATTAGAAGCCTACATACAGGCTACTGAGCTGTGCGCCATCAAGTAGCCGCTGGACTCCAAAAAACCCAACAAAAAAGAGAGCCGGTCTGCTTAGCCGACAAAAAAGGAAGAGAGCAAGAAAAGAAAAGAAGTCTGGGTGGCGGACGATTCTAGTCAGCCATCCCAGAAGAAAAAGAAGGAGTTGAAACCATACACCCCCAAGAACGAGTTCAACAAAGACAGTTACTCCATCCTCATGGAGATCAAGGACCAGGTATCTATTGATAAACCGGATGCCATGAAGGGTTCCGTCAGAAATCGGAACAAGAACAAATATTGTCATTTCCATAAGGACATTGGCAACGACACCAATGACTGTTTTAGCCTCAAACGGCTGTTCGACTGTCTGGCTGATAAAGGAGTATTGAAGTCCAACATTTCTAAATCCAAGGTGACCCTCAAAGAAAACAATGGACAACCGTCTAAGAAGGCACCCCAATCTGCTAATAGTTCGGACACTGATGATGAAACGATCTATGCTATAGCAGGCGGCTTTACCGGTGGGGGTCCTACCATTCGAGGCACCAGGGATTACGTCCGGAGGCTGAACGTCAACACAGTGGATGAGGGCCAGGCTTCGAAAGACACCTTCCCTGACGTCCTCATCACTGAGAAAGATAGGGGCAAGGTCAGGCGGCCGCATGATGACCCCATTGTGATCGAGTGCAAGATAGCTAACCAGAAGGTTGGCCGGATCCTAATCAACACTGGGAGCTCATCCGACCTGATTAGTCACAAGTGCTTAGCTAAGCTCAAGTACAAGCCCAGTAGCATGACTTTAGTCTCTCACCCCTTAGTTAAATTTGGGGGAGGGGTTGTGCATCCGGTGGGAAGAATCGACATACCCATCCGGTTGGGAGAGAAAGGGGCAGAACGCCACACGGTGGTTCGGTTCCTTGTTGTAAAGGAGTTGACCGCCTATAACCTGATACTAGGCAGGCCAACGCTGAATGAGTCCAAAGCGGTCATCATTCCCTCCCTCATGCTCCTAAAATTCGAAAGAGGTGATGGGTCTGTAGGCTCCCTGAGCGGAGACCAGAAGACGGTGAGAGAATGCTATCTCTCATACGTCAAACCAACTGTGACTGTAGCCGATCAGGATAAGGAGCCTGTAGACCTTGATGAGGTCAAAGAAGCTGCGCCTGCTCCAAGAGCAGCCTGTAAAAAGAGAAAGGAAGACCAATTAGCAACCGTCAAGAAAGAGAAGCAATAACAATTACTGACCGGGGAAAGGTCAGACGAACTGCGTCCCCAGCCGGCTGGTGATCACATTGACATCGTTCTGGATGACACCCGTCCAGATTGAACCCTTAAGGTGGGGACGGCTGCTTTTGCTAAGTTGGGTGAAAACTTTCACACCCTCCTAAAGGAATTCAAAGACATTTTTGCCTTTGAAGTTGAGGAGATGCCAGGCTTTAGCCCGGATCTAGCTGTGCATAAACTCGTCGTGGATCCTAAAAAGAAGCCGGTTAGGTAAAAGAAGAGGAACCAGGTGAGGAAAGAAGCCAGGCGGCTGCTGCCGAGGTAAAGAAGCTCCTGGAGGCTGGGTTCATTCGGCAATGTCACATCCCGGATTGGTTTGCAAATGTTGTTTTGGTCAAGAAGCCGAATGGGACCTGGCGGATGTGTGTTGACTACATAAATTTGAACAAGGCATGTCCAAAGGATAGTTACCCTCTTCCAAAGATCGACAGTCTGGTCGACTCTACAACCGGCCATGCCTTGATGAGCTTCATGGACACCTACTCAGGCTTCCATCAGATACCCTTGTGGAAGAAAGATCAAGAGAAGACGACATTCGTCACTAATCAAGGGTTATTCTGCTATACAGTGATGCCGTTTGGGCTGAAATATGCGCCTGCTACCTTCCAACGTATGATTAATGTAGTCTTCATTAATCAAGTAGGAAGGAACGTAGAGGCGTATATAGATGACATGATAGTCAAATCCAAGCTACAGACGGATCACCTTGCTGACCTCTGAGAAACCTCCACCACCTTCAGGCGGCACGAGGTCATGCTTAATCCCAAGAAGTGTGTCTTTGGTGTTGAGTCTGGGAAGTTTCTCAGATTCTTGATTGATCAAAGGGGGATAGAGGCAAATCCAGAAAGGATATAGGCGGTTATTGACATGAAGTCACCTCGCACTGTAAGAGAAGTCCAGAAATTAACCGGTTGCCTGTCAGCATTGGGGAGATTCCTCAACCGGTCAGGTGACAAGTGCCTCTACTTCTTCCAGGACATCAAGAAGAAGACAAGATTTGAATGGGGGGATGATGCTGAGGCGGCACTTTAGAAATTGAAAGAGCACTTGCATTCGTTGCCAAGGCTAGTGAGTTCTCTGCCTAAGGAGGTTCTCTACATGTACCTAGCCGTCTCGGATCATGCCCTCAGTGCTATTCTCCTTGCTGAGAGAGACAACATTCAGCTTGCAGTGTATTTCATCAGCCACGTTCTTCGAAATGCTGAGCTCCGGTACCCCATGGTTGTAAATTTTGGGCTGGCTCCTTTCATGGCAGTTAGGAAGTTAAAACCATACTTCCTAGCACATCCGGTGGTGATCTACACAGATCAACCCCTCAAGCGGCCCATGACAACCATGGAGTCATCCGGCAGAATGCTAAAATGGACTATTGAAATGCAAAGTCTGGAAATCACTTTCAAATCTAGGAAGACGGTGAAAGGTCAGGCGCTTGCCGACTTCATCGTCGAAATGACGAGGCCGGCTGAGCTAGAGAATGTTGACCAGGTTTGGAAAGTGTATGTAGACGGGAGTTCTACCATGAACGGCTAGGTGCAGGCATAATATGTCAGTCTCCGGAAGGGGACAAATATGAATATGCGCTACAGTTCAAGTTCCAGGCCTCAAACAATGAGGCGGAGTATGAGGCTCTGCTAGCCGGTATCCGTATGTGTAAGGCAACAGGAGCAAGGAAAGTTGACGTTTACTCTGATTCTCAGTTGAACGTCAGCCAATACCATGGTGACTATAAGGCCACCCATCCGGCTATGATCAAATATCTACAGACGGTCAAAGATGAGGCTGGGACACTTGATGAATTTCATCTAAGTCAAGTGCCCAGGTCAGAAAATAATCAGGTGGATGCGCTATCTAAGCTGCATCATTCGCCTCCTGTGATACGCCTAGGTCAGTCTTTTGGGAAGTAATGGAAAAAAGAAGCATCGAACATGATCCCATTGGAGTTCTGGACCGAAGTTCGACCTGGATGGATGTCATCCGGGCCTATCTAACAGACGACACCTTGCCGGATGTCCCTTCAGAGGCGCTGCATTGAAAAAGCGAGCTTCAAGCTTTGAGATCCACAAGGGAGAACTCTTCAGAAAGGGTTATCTTCAACCGCTTCTGAAATGTGTCATCCCAGAAAGGGGGAAGGAAGTGCTAGAGGATCTGCACTCGGGCTTTTGCGCATCACATATAGGCGGCAGAACTCTAGGGAAAAGTGCCAGGCGACAAGGCTTCTTTTGGCCCACTCTTGAGGCAGACGCTATGGAAATGGTGAAGAAGTGCGATAAGTGTCAAAGGTTCGGTCGGCTCATACACCGTCCGAATACTGATTTGACGACAATCTACAGCACGGTTCCATTTGCAAAATGGGGCATGAACATCCTGGGTTCATACACGCCTTCTACAAGCGGAAAAAGATATATCTTGGTGGTTGTAGATTACTTCACCAAATGGGTTGAAGTAGAGGCGGTCAAGGGCATTAAGACAAAGGATGTCATCTCTTTCATCTAGAGGAACATCATCACCCAGTTTGGGGTACCTATGTCTATGGTCTTTGACAATGACCCTCATTTTGAAATGCCTACCCTCAAGAGTTGGTTGGGAGATTAATGAATCTCAATTTGTTTTGCATCAGTTGGCCGACCCCAAGCAAACGACCAAGTTGAAGCCTTCAACAAACTCATCTCAGACGGCATCAAGAAGAAAATTGAAAGGGCGGTCTATGGGCAGATGAATTGCCTCATGTCTTATGGGCCATCAGAACAACTGAAAAGGGGGTAACCGGCAAAACTCCGTTTCTCATGACATATTGCACTGAAGCCGTCCTGCCTAATGAACACTAAGAGCCAACACTCCGAGTCATGCTCTATGATGAATTAGCCAATTGGGAGGCCATGCGTCTAGCATTGGATTCGCTCCCTGAGCGCAGGGGCAATGCCGCCTTGCATCATGAGATATATCGTCTTAGAATGACCAAAGTCCACAAAAAAAGAGTGCACAAGCGGCCTCTAAAAGTGGGGGACTTTGTGTTGCGAAAAATGGAGGCAACTGGTAGGGCCAATGAGCAAGGAAAGTTGACTCCTAATTGGGAAGGCCCCTACCGGATCTATGAGGAAGTTAGAGGCGGCACCTACCGCCTGGAGACACCAGACGGTAGGCAGTTAGCCAGAACTTGGAATGTGGATAACTTGAAAAAGTACCACTTCTGAGATTTTGTGTAAATTATTGTAAATAAAGTATATCAATGAAAGTAACTTTGTTTGCAAACGTATTTACTTGCTTTCTGTATATGTGAACCGTCTGTGCAATTCGCAAACGGGTGTGTATAATTTTTTCTACATATGCTTCCACGTGAGCAATATTAAGCTAAGTCCAAGGACCAAGCGGCTAGATCGTTCCTTTTTTACCAAACTCAGGAGGCCAATGGCTAGATATTACAGATAAGTGCCTACTCCAACAGTAGGCACCCAGCGACACCCCATCCGGGTGAATTCGTCGAGGAGAGCATCTCCTATTTGGGTGGTACATTGCTCTATAAACGAAAATACAAGCGGCCAAACAGAGTGTCTAAATTAAGATAACTCAACCGTTTGAAAGATTAATTGAAGCCTTGGCAACTTGTCTCCCGCCTGTTTTAATTCAGCCAGAGACCGTTGACTTGGTTGGATTAAACCGTCTGTTGCCTAAAGGTACCACAGACGGCTAATATAATAATGTAAGCCTAACCTTAGCGGCCAAGTCGCTTTTTTTTAAAGTACCTATACACGGTCTATGCCCGTCTGTCTAATATTTAACTAACTGGCCAAAACTGGTTTACAAGGTAAATCAGAACCGGTATTTTTCATAATGATCCCGGATGTCTGGTAGACGGATGTCTGCTCAGTTTAAAATTCGACAATAATCAACCAAGCATACATCCGTCCAGGGGCAAGTATATCTAGGACATCCGGATGACCGCATGGAAACAACTACTTGGCAAAAATTAGCAAAAAATGCAACATGCGAAAATTCAACGGAATTGTAAAGAATTAGAAATAAACTCGCAAAACCGACATAGTTGGCAAATAATCATTAATCAAACCCGACCAGAAGCCCGGGAGAAAATTGTTAACCGGATGCACATCCGGGTGAAAAGAAAGAGTATTGTTTAGATTACAAAGATACACGACGCGCAGGTCGGATAAGGGAATAAAAATAAGAAAGCTTAAGCCTGAGGAGGCGGGCGAGGCGCGTCTGTGGCGGCTGGTTCTGAGGCAGGATTCTCCTGATTTTCAACTTGGTTCCCCTCATCCCCATCAGAGCCCGTATCGGCTTGCATGGCCTCAACCTCCTTCTTTGCCCACTACTCATACGGCTCGGGCTCCGGCTTGTTCTCCTCTTTGGCCAGAATGGCAAGATCTGCATATTTGTAGGCCAGCTCCCAGATGGCGTACTCTGTCTCTAGATGCACAAAGAACCAAGCAATTTTCATGCGGTTCTCACAGTCTTGCTCATTCTCCTCGATGAGCCGACTCTGCTCAGCATGAAGAGTGGTCTCAAAATTTTTGCTGGCAGTAGCCGCCTCCTTCTTCAAGCGTTCATTTTCAGCTTTGAGGGAGGGGCTCTCTTTCTTGGTGCCCTTCAATGATTCGAGAGCCTCCTCCGCCTTCTTAAGCTCATCTTCAAAAATTTTGTACGCCTCCTGAAGATTGAAGAGTTTGGCGTTGGTCTCATCGAGGGTCTGAAGCCGTTTGATGGAGTCCGCCTGTTGCATGATTTGACTTTTAGTTTCAAGTTCGTGCACTGTCATGGAATATTGAGCAACGTTATGGGTCTCAGACGCCTCTCTTTTGACCCGTCTTACCTCCTCTTGCTTCCTGGCATAGGCCCTTTTCAGCCCCTCCATGCGCAGCATTGATTGCATGACCACAACCGGGATTAGAAGTTAGTAAAAAAAAAAAAAAAAAAAAAAGGAGAGAGGAAATAGGT